GCGCCCGGATGCAGTCAATGCTCAAGCGCCCTCTAGTAGGCACGCGATCAAAATGGAATACTTAGTTATATTTTCTCAAGTGATCGGAAATTCGGATGCAAATGATGCAATTATAAATAATGTTGGGAAGCGATTGCTAGTTTACTTCGCATGCGCCGCGAGCAGTTTTCGGCGCCCCCTAAGATCCTGCACACTTTGTACCGTGGGTAAAGCTGGCACTGGACGAGTTCTTGTTTTTTTTAATTTAACCAATTATGTCCCTTTCTATGAGCGACTTCACCAGACTGGTTCGATAAAGATAGCTTTGATCCGGACCGTCTAACATTCTTTTCAGTTTTAATGATAAAATGTACTCTGATGCGATTCAAGATAGAATTTACGAAACACTACGGTATTTCCTTTTAAATACCAATTACACGCATACTTAATAGATAAAATTCCAACAAAAGATACTCATATCTACGATTATGAATGTACGTAATGGTAATTTAATTATAAACTAAATGGACTTTTGAGAGGCTAAAATGAGAAAATCTAAAATCGGTGTTTAATTAAGAAAACACGAGAAATAGGCGTGAGGTTAGAAAAGGGACCTATATTTATTTAGTAATAAATAAAATTACCGGGGATATACGGAATAAAATGTCGGGCCGATGGAATCAAGGAAAGGGGCCAATAACGGGTAATGAGTGCCCAAAAGATTTGGATTTTGTGGCAAACTCTATAGTAAATGGTGATTGGTACACATGCAACGATAACAAAAACTAATAGTGCAATAGAACAACTTTACTACCGGTACGTATAATACAAGAAATGGTTAATAAAATTCGTCCTACAGGAGCAATAGAGCTCCTTGCGAAAGTGTTCATCCAGGGAAGTACAGCCACTTAACCTATTTTTTTCGCCAAGCAGTTACGCTCATATTAATGCGTTCCGGTTTTGAAGGGTAAGCAAGGGTGTTGGTGAAATTACTGGCACATGGGACTTGTCAACTCATGTCTCAGGGTGACGGGCGCAGTGGCAGTGCCCCCAGATCTTTGCTATTTAAAGCTCTGAGTGGCACTGCAACGGCTAAGGACAAGCGTGTCGCTTGCCACCAGACAGACACGACTTGTTCGTCCCTTCATTAGGATACTACATAAAAAAGAGAGGCTACGGCATAATAAGCCATACTGCCAGATCTTAGATTTTAATTTTCTTATATGTTTTGGCGGAAAATCGTTAAGTAGGTATTTATTATTCCAAAAGAAATATCCGAGTGGAGTTAATACAAGGTATAGATTTTAAATACAGGATGAAGTTTCAATTCGGAGTGATTCATCAATTCCGATTTAATCCAAATCCGTTCTAGAAATATTTTATAGTAGAACAAAGTTGTTTTTACAATCCCTGTAACGGTACTGTTCGCGAACTCCTAGCTTTCTTTACATATTTTTTCTGTGTTTTTGTATGATTTTTGCTTGTCATTGTTGGTGTCCTATTGTGATTTTTTTTTGTCTTGCTTATTAGAAGTATTTATGTTGCTCACTCTCATTTTATAGTCTATTTCAGTACCACCGAGACTGTTGTCACTATAATACATTTTTTGTACTTTTTAGTTCGACAGCTTCTGAAGCATTAAAAAAGCTATTTTACGAGCAAAAACTCAGAAGTGTAGTCAAAACAACGTTAAGCAAGAGTCATAGAGTTAAATTTAAAAATAATAACTTTATTTGAAGTAAATTAAAATTTTAGTGGATGCTTAAGACGTAACAAACTATAAGTAGGTAACAGTATAAAGACCAAGAATCTAGGACTCAAAATGGTAGACAGTTAATCTCTACTATTTCATGAGTCAACATTTAGTTAAGCACTAAATTTTGGAATACACTAAGAATGGGTTACATATCAGTAGTCCGAAATGACGTTTTCCAGAAATAACGTTTGGTCGAAATTTCATAACCTCGAAATTAATTTTGAGAGGAAAATGTTTTTTCTTTTAAGCCTAACTTAACCTAACCTAACCGAACCTAATCATGTCTTTGCGATAAACTTTCGACATATCCTGAAAGAATATTTGTTTCGTTATAATTCGGTTTTCGGTGTGATGAAAATTCGAACAAAAAAATTTTCGTTTGTGATACGTTACCCTAAGAATGTAGTAATGTTCTACAAATATAATGTACAAATCTTAATTAACAAACATAATGTACTTTTCTCTCTGTATCATCAAAATTTCAAAAAAACAACTCAAAGCCGATGTTTTTGTTACTTATTAGTAGTGTATAATATTTTTAACGTACTTCAAAAAAAAGGAGGAAGTTTTCAATTCGACTGTACTTTTTTGTATATATGTTACGCGGTAATTTGTGATCTTTCGTCCTTCGGGACAAGCTAAGACTAATTGGCCATACTGCAGATTGTAATATTTGTTACTTTAATTTTCTGACATTTATTCGCGGGAACTCGTAATATCTTTATGGTGGTCAGTTAAAAACTCCTATTTTTTTGGATGCATTTTTCGGTCATTCTCGGACTTAGTGTTCACTACCTGCTTTCCGTAGCAATTTTTATTATCTAAGTATTCGATTTTTTATCGTGTAACATTATTTAATATTCGAGTATTGTATCGTGAAATATTATTTAATAATTACACGATAATATACTTGAATATTTATGTAACAAAAATTGCCACGAAAATTAGTTAGTGAATTAGTCCGAAAATGACAATTTTTTCTTAAGTTTCACCTAAGGTTTTCACCCATTTATTCGGATAGATAAAGGTTCTACCATACAGCCTCTTCATATGTTAGTATCTTTCCCTTGTTTTAATTGAGACTTGATGACATGGCTAAATTACGGAGCATCCATGGAGCCTGTTACGACAATAAACATGCTCAATCAAGTATAGTGACCCAAGTACATTTTTTACTTCTTCAGTATTAGTTGTATTCAGAATGTGCAAAATTTTCTATGCTAAAGTTTGAATCAGACATCACGCTTTCCATTGGTTAAAAATAATCACATGACAACCATTGGGCCGATATACTATTCGCCAGCAGATGCACCTGTTTTTTTTACCGTCTACCTGTTGAAGAAGGTGTTCTTGTGATAGGCCGCTATTCCAAAACGCCATCGATGTGTTAAAAATTATACAACTCATAGTAAAGAAATATCCCTTGGTGTATTAGAGCCACGAAAAGGTATGCTATCAGTACAGAAACTGGTATGCTATCTCTTCAGTACCTTTTTTTTAAATTTATTTCATGACCATGGATATTAATTCTTCAGTCGAAATATCAAAGATAATAAACAAGGAAAATATAAAAAATAATAATAGCATAGTAATAAAACAAAATTAATAAAAATTTTCTCCGATTGTTTACGATGAATTTAAATACAACAATGAAATAAACTGGATTTGACTGTAACCACTTGACGAGTCTTCAATAGTGTACCTGTACAGAATCAGTATAGTGTTGCCAATAATCATGGTAGCTAAACGCGTCACTGTGTAATATAATATCATTATCACATTAAAGTCATAAATATAATACGAAGTACCTACATGAAACAAATTACGTAAAGCGCTTAACGTCCAATATCCATTAAAATGTACTAAACATAATTTGCTAATGTTTCTGACCCAAACAAAAACAAGTACGTCCTGGGTTTTGTATGAGTAATATGTTTTTCTAGATACCCTATAGTCATATAGAACATTATGGCGCTAAATTTGAATGTGATACTTTCATTATAATGTTCATTGGGTATTTACGTGTAGTGAACTGTATCAATGAGATTCAGGTGCTATTAAAGAGTGAGCAAGACCAATAGAAATGTATTTACAGTTTTGTTTCAAAACTCCTTAGTATTTTTAATTGTAATTATATTTCATTATTGACGTTGGCTTGCAGATGTATTTCTATCACGTGGTTGAATTTGTGTAGTAGCTTTGAAAACTAGGAATATTTATTAAATTATTTATCAATCATCCAGTCCACTAGTTTTGTACTCTTCATTTTGGGTCCGGCTCGAAGGACCAATTTTATTTAAACAAAGTACAGCTACGAACCAAACAGAACACAAACAAACAAGGACAATAACAACGAAAAAGGCGCCAATAACAAGTTCATTTAAATTTAGAATTTCAATCTAAAACTAAACTGCTAAAAAGACTATATAAACTAAATGTACAAAAAGATTTGTAGTGACTGCTGCGATTCGCTTCATCTCCTATTTAAACATAAAAAAATATCGATTAAATTCGTTCGTGGAAACGTTTAACCTCTCTCTTGGAAAGAGATCAATTTGCAGATAGGTATGGCCTTATAACATCAAGGGTTCGATAAACAAGTGACAATACTTTTGGACAGCCCTGAATAGCTCTACATTTGGCAACTTGTGCGGTTTTATACAACATAGCGTTCGGTGTGGTTGGCACATCAATTACCGCATTATATACCTCCTCTAATTACATACTTATGCATTCACTACCTACTTAAATGCGTTATATATAGTCTTATATCAATGACTGGAATCCTTGAACTGTTTATTTGTAGTTGTTATTTTGGATTATTACACACGGCTTTAAGGTTAAAACTATACCGTGTGTTAGCGTTTGAAGTGTAAATTTGAACGTTTTGTAATTGACTTTAGGCACAATATTCAACAAAGAATTTTGACATATATTTTAGTGCGCCACAGCTTTCAGTTTAATTTGTCTATGGAGTTCGTCTGAAGAAAATGCGTATTAAATATTAAAAAAAAAACAATAAAGGTTACTTTATTGTAGTGAGTTAGTGATTTTTTAGGTTGTGATATTCGAAACAAAGCAAGTTTACTCTATAAACTCTCTTACTTATACGAAAAAAAATACATCTAAACGCAGCATCGACTTCTTAGACTATTAGTAAATACAAACTCAAAATCGGTCCTCCCGGCTTCAAAATTCGAAACGCAATTGCACTGCTCTCAAGAAAACACCAAACGTACGCTTCAAAAATCCTTTTAGAACTTACCATAATTTTAAACATCCAAACAAACAGATATAGCACTTCATAGAACACTCATGTAACGTAGTGTATATTCAATTTCCTTTTTATTAGATGTTTATTTGATTAAATTCACGTCACCATAGCAACCGTAAGATGGCGGACAACGCGCATGCGTACAACGAGCGGGCCGGGCGCGCACAGACTGCTGGTTTTGGCGCCAAGATGTTTTGTCTGAGAAAATAAAACGAACGCGCTTCTCCGCGTTCCTTCCGACTCCGAGGCTGCTCCGGAAAAGTACTCCTTATTTTTTAAATTTCTTTTACTTTTTATTTTTAATACGGACTTTAGACACGGCGGAATGTTTTTTAACTTCGGCTTTTGTTTTTAAAAAGTAAACCGTGCAATGAGAAAAAACAAAAGACGATCATTTAGAAATCAATTTCTTGTGCCGAGGTTTATGTATGGAAGATCGATTTCTATTGTTATTGTGAAATGTCCCGATTTGTTATACAACTGTTTTTAATTACGTTTTTTCTACAGATCATAGCGCCAGGTTTCTCTAACTGGAGACTCTTGCGTAAACTTTAGAACTTACCTAATTAAAGAACTGCAAAGGCTGCAAGTACATTTATTCACAGATTAACATATAAAACTACATAAGTTGTTACTTTTAATTGAAGAAAGAGCTCAAATGTCTCTTTATTTATTATTTATCATAAGCAAAATTTTCAACAGAAATTTTTGAAATACGAATCTTCAAGTGTAGCCAGGTTTATTACGTTCATTATTAGCCTTATTATCGAAAACAATTTTCATTAATAATTAGCGATTATACGTATTTATCTAGTAAGTTATTATGATTTAAAGGATTGCTATTAAATAATCCAGTTTTTTAATGTGTTCTCGATTCCTTTGGAACCGGAACGAATTTCGGTCGTGGGCTTGGGCTTGGGTGTTCATTCTTTTATGCAGTGACCAAGTTTTAGACAAAAATGCCAAAACAACTGAGATCAAGCCCAAAAATCTTATTTGGTATGCAATAAGTATAATAAACAGAAAAAAGAAATCCAGTAACTTAGCTGTGACCGTGGAGTACACGTAAAATAACATTTTACATATAGTGATTTTTACCTATTATGATTAAAAACACATAAAAAATTAACAAAAAAATATATATTTAAGAGCAACGCTTATTGTGTTGTGCATAAGAATGAAAATAAAAGAAACCTTCACCAATTTAATAATAATCTCAGGGTGACGGGCGCAGTGGCAGTGCCCCTGGTGTAAAGCAGACAAATGTCGCATCATCAAGTGCACGACTTGTTCGTCCTCTCGCTTGGTATCAAATAAAAAAAAATCCTGGGACTGTATGTCAAATAGTACCTAACTAATACAAGTTAAAATAAATTACTTTTTCACTTGGCAACGACAGCAAAATAGGCGTTTAAGCCCAATACAACATACAAATCTCTAATAAGAAAACAAATTCAAGAGATCTGTGGCTCAGTTGGACAGGCCGGTGAACCGGCACGACAAGTAGTTCGACGGATTTTTTCTTCGTGTTGTGCGAACTTTGTATCAATAAAATTAACAAACTACAAAAACATTATTATATTCAATAAATATGTTCCGAATTTGGGTTTAATGTAACATATTTTGCTTAAATTATTGCCACCCTAACACATCATCCACGACTTCAAAGTGGCTCAATCGTAAACAATGCGAGATGGATAGTGTAGTGATAGTCAGAACCGGGTCCGACGACATGTGGGCCTGTGCACCTAAGTATATAGCAACCTTTACCGGTCCATTTTTCATTTTGTGGGATGAGAGTGCAATATATTATGGGCTGGTACCATAGCATAGCTGCAAAACTCAAATATCTTTATTTAAAATTTTACGAAACGAATGTCATATACTTTTATGCGAGCAAAAATTTACAACGATGACAAATGTTCTGTGTGAACAAATAAATGATTCAATCACGATGACTTGTTAGAGGTTTCTTACGGCTAACTGTTTATTCTTCTCACGATATTCGGTTACGTGCTCCACGGTCACGGGTTAACAGGTGAGTAGCAGATAACAGTTTTAAGGGCAGACAATACATATGTATGTGACTACCCTCATTTTCACGGTCCATAACGAGTCTTGTTTTAAGGAGCTGGTTTCTCTAGAATATCATTTGTTGTACTTGGTATCAAATGTGTTTTAGCAGTGACACATTCAAAAGTTTTCGGATTTACGGGCGCGTGTACAAGTTTTACTGGTTTTAGGTAAAATTTTGAAAGAAATTTGGCAACGTCTATTTAAAAAACCCAACGTTCTTTTAGCCATTCTATAAGTACATTAAAAACACAATAGAAAATATTCAATGAGGATCTCGAAAATTAAATGAAGACCAGACTCAAAGGACTTGTACTTAAGCCAAAAATCCTTTTAAAAAATAAATTAGTTAATGTCACTCTTTGCAAATAATCGGTAAGGAAAGTATTTATTCAAAAACATGATCGTCATGTTAATTGGCACTTTGCTGTTTTTAAGTTGTTATACACACAATTTAGACAACAATTATTTAATATTCATTTTTTCTAAAGAAAATATAACATTTTACCTAATTTAACAGCGCCACTATTTCACGGTCCATAAATAAAAATATTTAAAAAAAAGAACTAATTAAATTTTTATTGAATTTATATTCAATTATTTTTTGTGAAACTACTCCACTAGTTTGTTATAATTATTAATACAAAGATCGAACACTCAGAAAAAACACTCAGAAATTCCTTCGAAGGAATTTTTTCTGAGTGTTTTTTCTGAGTGTTCGATCTTTG